ATTGCTCATCTTGTTCCCAGTCCACAAAAATGACTGTCTATCCCAATGAAGGCATTATAGATCCCGATACTTCTTTCAATTTTTTGAGGTTGTATAGGATGTGAAAGTAGTTATATAGCAGTCCCACTTAATGGATGAATTTGATTTAGCGCGACTCTGGGTTGGGGCTATAATTGCATGTTGATTGATTGATTACCTGTGGTATCTTTGTTTCTCCTATGGCTATCGTGTCCTTTGGCGTCTTTGTTTCACTTATGGCTTCAAATCACTTTTCTATGTGAATCTTTCGGGATAAGTAGGGGTACATCTAGTTTCGCAAGCTTTTTTTTAGCCTTTTTTCCCTCCTGTTATGAATCACAGTTCAAAGAGAGAGGTTTTTTTTTTTTGGGGGGGGGGGGTGTCGGAGAAAGAAAAAGGTTTAATAGTGAAGGTATCATGTTAGATATGAGTAGTTAACATTTAAGATGAAGTGAAAATTATGATGCTTAATTTTCTGTTTGTAACTTTATATGTGACACTTACCTTCGCTTCTTGGCATGTGTCTTAATAGTGATGGCTGGGTTCTCTTAGGGAAAACATGGAATGAATTGGACTTTGTTTCCCTGGATTTTGCAGTTGAGATCGGAGGGTAAAGATTATGTTGTCCAAGAAGGAGATGTGATGCTATTTCGCTTCAATGTATGAACCTGTCCCAATAGTTCTGTTTATAGCTACCAATGAAGCTGGTAGCGGTACTACTTTGTTGATGAAGTGGTTTTCCGCGCATGACCTCAGATGCATCATTGAGTTGACTTCGATGGAATGCAGCAGCGTTGAGTTTCGAAGGGAATGGCAGTTTTGCTTGCAGAGTAGCTTCCTATAACCAATAGTTGTACCTTAAGAAAATCACACAATTTTTTTGCCTTTCTCCAAGAAAGAAAGGGTCTGAAACTGAAAGTCCTATACACAATTGTTTAATCCTCTTCTTTCCCTCTCAGGACGAGCTAAAATCTTTTCAGGACGAGAGGTGTTTACTATTTTCAGGCAGCCCCAGTGTTCGTTGAAGGGTTTTATGTGAGAAATTCTTATCTAAATCCGGGTCTGATGAGGTCCATTTGAGTCGTTGATCATTTGGAATCTGCATGTAAGGCCCATACGGGACCATCAACGGCATAGATGGACCCAATAATCCATACAAGAATTTCTCGATTTATATCATGAATGTCCTCTCTCTCTCCATAAATACATTTCTTTACTGAAAAATATCAGTATAGGGCTATGTATTAACTCGATAAACCCCAGGGCAAGTAGTGCTACCATGAGGACGGTTGATAATGTCGAGTTATTGTCTGTCATATGTATGCTGTTATTATCATTTTTAGAGGAATGAGAGGCAAAGTTTTAACTGAATAGACTCTTAGTGAGTAGCTTGTAAGTGGGATAAATATTAATGCAGGAAATGAGAGTTCTTTGCAATTCTGTCTCTTTTTTTAGTGTTGAAAGCAAAAGGAAAAGTAATGTCTCTCAACAATTATTACATAAAACAATCTTTTCAAACAACAGCTCCTGGTTAGTTATGTATGTTGCCAGGAAATCCACTTTAAATTAGTTTGCGAACAAGAATAATATTCCGCACGAAGCTCCATAACGAAAACATAGAACCCTATTCCCTTCTTCCAAAGAAAACCTCCTTGAAAAATCAAATATACGACGGTTTAAACTTTTAGAGCTCTGACCAAAAAAAGAAACTTTTATAACAGTTGGCTTGGCATCTAGCAAATATATCTTATGTCAAAAACCAAATCTGCTAAAGTCGCCTATCACCTAGCAAATATTTGTGGAAAAATGACACAAATAGTTCCTGAACTTTGGTCCAATATGTGATGTGGTCTCTGAACTTTTAATTTGTTCATTGTCATCTATGAACTTTTAGTACATGTTCAATGTAATTCTTGAACTATATGAAAATGTTCAATGTAGTCCTTCCATTAACTCAAGTTCACAGACTACATTGAAAATGTACCAAAAGTTCAAGGACAACATTGAACAAATTAAAAGTTCAGAGACCACATTAAACATTAGACTAAAGTTTATGGACAACATTTAACAAATTAAAAGTTTAGTGACCACATTGAACATTAGGCTAAAGTTCATAGACTACATTGAACAAATTAAAAGTTCATGTACCATATTGCACATTAAGTCAAAGTTTATGAACCGTTTGTGTCATTATCGCGATATTTGTTTATATGATAAAAATTTTTACTCTTTTATGCAAAATGTCTTTTGCAACTTTACTATATACTCTAATAAAAGATCTATTATTAACTAAATTTTCTTTGAATTTTAGTACACATAAGACCATGGCCAAAATATCATTTTTAATTAGGGTTAATACCACAAAAAAAATCAAAACTATACCCACTATGACACAAATATCCTAATTTTTTTTTGTGTCCCAAAAAACCCTAAAGTTGCTCATTGTGACACAAATACCATAAAAAATCCGAACTTATACTTGTGTGACAAATACACCCTAGATGGAACTATAATAGAGAATATATAAGTGTGAGTTTTTTTGTGACACAAAAAAAGTTTGGGGTATTTGTGTCACAATGGATAAGTTTAGGATTTTCAGTGACATAAAAAGTTTGGAGCATTTGTGTCACAGTAGACATAGTTTGAATTTTTTTGTGATATTTATCCTTTTAATTATGGCATTTTTTTTTCCGAGCATCATTCCAGCCTCCTGAAATTTATGTGATTAATTATTAATTTCCATTTTTCCTTTGCAAGTTATGGATCAGCAATACTAGTGCATTCCAATTCGTGCGATTTTCTTTTCTATTTTTCTAACAGCTTCAGTCTGAATTTCTGATGATTCTGGAGTTTTCTTTTTCAACCTGTCTTGTAATGGTTTTGGATCTATTAATGAAAATCCGATGCACAATTTAGACAGTTCCTATAGATCGTTATATCGTCGTCTATTTTTTATTTCATTTGGAAATTTGCCCGCAAAATTGATTGACCAATCGATAAGCTTTACTGTTCCTTTATAAATTACATGTCCTAGAAATCTAATATTAGTTTGGCAAAAAAAATGTAATGAAACGATAGTTTCTGATAGGGGTAATGATTGACCAAATTTACCCCCAACGGCAAAACATAATGTCAAAATTGGAGCGAAACTATCCCTCCATTCGTGATTAAATTGGATATTATCTCTGAAGCGTCAATCAAAATTGCATCGAAATTTGGATTTTAAATTGCATACTAATATTCTTAATCAAAATATTCTTGATTCAATTGTGTACTGAATTATAGCGAAATTATAAAATCAGACGGTGTCATCTTGATTATTTATGCAAGCCGCTTCAGTCGACATAACATTCATCGTTTGTCAACTTAGACATCACATGCACACATCTCGGTCGAAATAGTCTCTAAACTAAAAATTATGTTTTTTTATGCGACACTTGAAAGTTAGAGCGAAAATTGTCCGGTAGGTGAAACTCGGCGATCTTTTACGTTAGCCTTGAAAGTTGGCTCAAAACTAGGGGTAAGTATCGGTCCAGGGTCGAACCCTAGACTAATTCTGGATTGGCCCAACCTGGCCGGTCCTGGTTCGATACTTAGGGGGAGTGGGCCGATCCTTGATCCTAGATTATTCTGGAATTGACACTGTGCAATTCAACCCTGCCCAACCATGTGTGTATCCCTAGGCCCCTCCCTCCTCTTCTAGGCTGCTGATTTACGGTGGCGACAGAGACGGTGACTTTGTACGAAAAAATTGGTGGGACTTAACGGTGTGAGTTTTCCGTAATGGACATCTTCTTTGTGCTTTTCTTTCATGGGGCTTGGGGCTAAAGAATACACATGACTGAGGGGTTTACTCCGGGTTTGGCAACATTAAGGACGAGATCGAAGGGATGAATGCAAATAATGCATGATGAAAATAACAGAATATCTAGGCTATTTAAAATAAAAACCCTTCCGCCTCTCTTCGCTTCCCTCCTTTCGCTAGATGTCTCGCTTCTCCTTGCTCACCTCACGAACACGGTTTAGCTCATAATTTGAAGCAATATTTTAAGAACGAGTGACATACGAAGTTGTATAATTTTATGGTTTATGTTACGTAGTTGGAACTTTTTATTGTTTAATTTTATTTCATGTGTTCGTTTTCTATAGTTTGTTGCTTTTGGCAAGTGAAGATTTCTGTCGTTGCCTTACTTTAGATTTCTATTTGATTTGTATTTCACAGTTTGGTTAATTAATATTGCATTGTCAATGGATATATAATTAAAAAGAGTACGCTTTTCATTTTAAGGAATACAGAGAATGAAACAAAAAAGAATTGGTTGATTCACATGCACAAGGTCAGTCCCATCCTCAGTTCGAGGCTCAACAGGGTCTGTCCCCGATGCTAAGAATTGGCATCGATATTGTGCGAGTTTGTTCTTGGGTTAGGTGCTATCGGACCATGCTCGCCCCTTCTCAAATGGTGCCATAGAAAAAAGTCAATGCTTTTTTTTAAGGTTAATACCATGAAAAATCCAAAACTGATACATCTGTAATAAATTTACCATAAACTAATTTTTTACCCATAAAAACCCCAAACTGGTAACCCGTGACAAATTTACCCTCCGTTAGTTTCCGTTAAATTTTACCATCAAATTGCAGAGTTGAATGACATGTGACAGTTGACGGATGTACCAATTTGGGGTTATACCCCTTTGTTTGTCACGTGTTTATCAATTTGTAATTTTTCGTGATATTAATCCAATTTAAAGGAGGCTAAATTTATCACATGTGTACCGGTTTGAGGGTTTTGGTGGTCAAAAAATTAGTTCAGGGTAAATTTGTCACATGTGTACTAATTTAGAGTTTTTCGTGGTATTAATTTTAATTTTAATTTTAATTTTATTTTTTACCACCGGAAAACTCAATAAGAAAACCAATTCCGTCATTTCACGCTTCTCCGCCTCGTCCTTTACCATTCCTTAACCACCTCCTATCGTTGCCACGAAGCACATTTCTCTCTCTCCTCTCTCCTGTTCATAAGAGAGGTGGTTTATCTTAGGGTTTCAACCTCTCGCGCGCCCTCGCTTCTCCTCCACCACCCCGATCTCCCACCGCCACCCGCCCACACCGGAAGCCATGGCGAAACCCAGCCGCGGCCGCCCTGCGCCGTCGGGCTCCGCCTCCGGGTCCTCCTCTCGGTCCCGCTCCTACTCGGGCTCCGACTCTCGCTCCAGCTCCAGGTCTCGCTCCCCGTCCAAGTCCCCTTCTCGCTCCCGCTCCAGATCGGCCACCTCCTCTTCCTCCCCTTCCCGCAGCGCCAGCTCTCGCAGCCGTAGCCCCCCTCGCCACCGCCGAAGGTTCTTTCTCTCCCTACTCTGCTGTTTGCCCCCCTTCTCTCCCTAATTCGGCTTATTCTGTTTTCTCTGGGCCTAGTTGGTGAGTGGAAAGCTGGAGTTTCTAGATGTTAGAAGAGTAGGAAGTCCGACGGAGGGCGTGAAGATTTGATATTCGGACTAGAACTTACAACTGTTTCTGCTCGTGTCAACTGCGCAGGGCTTTTGATAGCAATGCCTGTTCCTTTTCTTCTTAGTGTAGATTTGTGCTCGGTATGATACTGAGAGAATGGTCAGAGATCCGAATTTAATTTGGCTTCTTCTCTTCTCTGGGCCTAGTTGGTGAATGGAAAGCGGGAATTTTTACATGTTAAACGAGTAGGAAGTCCAATGGTGGGCGTGAACTCACGACTGTTTCTGCTTGTGTCAACTGCGTAGGGCTTTTGATAGCAATGCCTGTCCCTTTTCTTCTTAGTGTAGATTTGGGCTCGGTATGATACTGAGAGAGTGGACCGAGATCCGAGGGGAGAGGCTGTTGTTATGGAAAGGTGCGGTTATTAGATTCTAGCTAGGATTGGAGGGTTGATGATTCGAATGAGGGAGGTCGTTATGAATTGCATACTCGTTTCTTGGTTGCCTCTCTTTTTGGATGTCCCGTCGCTACTTTTATTTCGTCATATCTGACTCCATCCCTTTTCTGCAGTTCTCCTGAGGTAGTCAAGCGAGGCCATTCCCCTCCTCCGCCGCCGCCACCTAAGAGAGCTTCTCCGCCCCCTAGGTAAGGATTTTGATTTTTAACAACCTAAATCAGTAGGATTTACATTGTAAGCAGCTCATTATAGGTCAGGCAAAGATAATAGCATTTAAAATGTGTTTGTTTGAGCGAAAGAATTTTTTAGTTTTTTGGACTTTCCTGCATTTGGTTTGCTGAAAATAATCAGTCAACGGAAAACCATTTACGGTAAAAAAAAATATGCATGCTTAAATTTAGGAAAATGAATTCCCTAACTTGAAAAGGGGAAAACATTTTCGTGGAAAATGGATTCCTGGAAAGCATTTTCCTTTTTCAATAAGTTTTCCCCAGAACAAACACACCCTTAGATGGGGTTGAGGAGAAAATAGAGGATTTATAGTGTTAGTGGTTCGAATTATCTTCTTATTTTGCTGTTACATCTTGTTTGTTGCGTAACATTTCATAATTGCAGGAAAGCTTCTCCTATCCGAGAATCCCTTGTTCTTCACATAGACTCACTCAGCAGAAATGTTAATGAAGGCCACCTGAAGGAGATATTCAGTAAGACAATTTCATTTTTCATGTACTTGGGTTATTTTAGTTCACTTTGTGCTGGCACAGCAACTACTTTCTTAAGGTTGAAATAGTAATGCTGGATTGTGTGATTTGTTATGTTGCACCTGGAAAATTCTGATCTCATAGCCATATTTTAATGCACATTATCTGTTGCCTTTTATCCTTATGATTCTGCTCTTCGTTGAATTCTTGAACTTCGAGAACATGTTCTCCTTGGTTAGAGGGGTGTCTATGTAGTATATCAGTATGCTCATTCAACTTTGGCTTTTTCATGTTTGCTCATGGAATTTTCGTCATGCAATTCTGACAAATTAAAGTGCAGATAATATTTTGTTTGGGAGAGATACTTTTACTTATGTTGTTGATTGGATGTTTTCAAGCTCTAGTATTTAATGATTGCAAATGACCAAAATGCAGTCACTGGACTGCTAATTTGTTTTCTCAAAGTTTCTTTGTTAGGCAGCTATATCCTTTACCGCGTTTATTTTCATTAACTGGTCTTTTCTTTAGTGTTCCTATGTCAGGATAATACTCTTAGTTTGTTATTCTAACCTTTTCTCTTCCAGGTAACTTTGGTGAAGTTGTGCACGTGGAGCTTGCCATGGACCGGACTGTGAGTTCACACATTTGTTTGGAGCCTGTGCATGAATGTACACTCATTGCGTATAATAACATTAATCCTGTTTCAGGTGAATCTTCCAAAAGGATATGGTTACGTTGAGTTCAAAACAAGAGCTGATGCTGAAAAGGCTCAGCTGCATATGGATGGAGTAAGTTTCACTTACCATGTGTAGCCTGATTATCAGAACCTCATGAATATTGATATTGAGATAAAGAGGCTAAATAACGGTCTCTATGTAGGCTCAAATTGATGGAAATATTGTTCGGGCCAAGTTTACATTACCGCCTAGGCAGAAGGTTTCGCCACCACCAAAATCTGCCCCAACAGCTTTGAAGAAGGATGCTTTGAAATCTGATAATGTTGGTGCTGATGCAGAAAAAGATGGATCTAAACAGCCAAGAGACTGTATGTTTGTACTGCCAGACTTTGTTGCCAAATTTTAGTTGTTTTTTATCGTTTCATGTGCATCATTGCATGCTTACGAGCTTTTCTACGTAGCTTCTCCTCGTCGGAAAGCTCTTTCCCCACCACCACGAAGATCTCCTGGACCTCGTAGAGGTGGATCTCCAAGAAGACCGCTAGATTCTTCACCACGTCGACGAGGAGAGTCGCCAATCCGCCGTCGAGGAGATTCCCCCTATCGACGTGGTGAGACACCTCCAAGAAGGCGGCCTGCATCCCCGGGTAGAGTTCGTTCCCCACTATCTCCTCCAAGGCGGCATAGGTCCCCAGCAAGGTTGGTTGTTTGGGTGCTTTCTTGCCATAATTCTATTTTTAAATCATGTTACTAATATCTCCTCATCAGGGTTTCTCCACGTAGAGCTCGGGCTAGTCCAATGCGAAGACGTTCGCCCCTTCCTCCTAGGCGCCGGTAAGATGATCTCATTTGTATTTTGCGTATTGTAAAGTTGAGCCTAGGGTGCTTTGTCCTATAACTTGTAATATATCAGTGGCCAAGCTGTATTTTGCGTGACATGTTAATGAAATAGTGGCTATAGGATGGTACATCATGTAATCCATAATATTGAGAATTTTCCCTACAGCAAGGACTTTAATTAGTTCATTAGTTGTTGACCTGTTGATCGTATTGATTTCATGGATTGAGTCTGCTGCTTGTATCCGTTTCGCTGATTAATGAGTTCCACGGGCAATATGCCTGAAGCAAGTACCTTAATCATACAAGTTAAATTTATGGTGGCATGCATTGTGCTCCTAATTTTCTTGAGTGTACTTTTTAGTTTTCAATCTTATCACATTTTTTACTGTAACAGTTCACCACCTAGACGAGCTAGAAGTCCACCTAGAAGGTCTCCAATCGGTCGACGGCGTAGCCGCTCTCCGGTGCGCAGGGCTGCTCGATCACCTTCTCCGAGGAGGTACATTATTGCAATGATTTACTAGTATCTTTTTCCTCTTCTGAACCAAAACTTGCGCATAATGGCCTGCCTGCCTGCCAGGTTTGTGCTGTCGTGTTATGGTTGTGTCTTGTGCTTGTCTTCTCTGCATAGTTTTGGATGTTACATGTTTGACTGTTTCATGCTATCTGATGCTATCAGAGGTCGAGCACCACAAGCAAGGCGTGGCAGGTCATCGTCGTTCTCTGACTCACCAAGTCCACGCAAGGTTTGTATAGTCTGCTAGTAACAATTTCAATGGCTACTACATAAAGACTTTTTTCTCATTGTCTGTTATAATTCTAACAGATAGCGCGGCGGATAACGAATCGCAGCCCTAGAAGGTATTTTTATTTCCTAGATCGTCTTTGAGGATTTAAATCTAAGGTCCAGTGAGAGCATCGTTTATTTGTTAGCATGTGTCTCTGATTTAATGGTCGTAAGAATGACCCTGAGCTCTACATTTGCAGGCCCATAAGGGGAAGAAGCTCCAGCAATACAAGCAGCAGCAGCTCACCAGCTCGTAAGCCATAGGTAAATTCTCTTTTCCTTCCCCTTCTTCCCTTTCCTTGTCCCATCTCCACCTCCCTTCCCCAGCCCCACTCGCATCACTCGCATCCCTGCATCCCTCCGATAGTGGGGGAGAGAAACAGAGAGAAGGAACAAGAGAGGAAGTTTCCAGCTAATCGAAAGTTATGTGGTACTTGTTTCTGTGGAGGAACTGTATGGCTGTAATTATGACCATGTTCGTCTTTTAGACGATTGATTCTGCCAGGCAACTCTGAATCTGTCTTATTTGATTGTTCTTGTAGAAGTTGATTAATCTGTTTTATGGTAGCGTTTTATTTATCGTAGCTTAAAAGGCCAGATGGGCTTCCAATCTGTAATATGCCCATTCCAATTGAGTTGAAGCTCAAGGGTTGCCCCGTACGGCTTTGCTATGGCCACCTCATGCGAATGCCGTTGTATCTTGGCTGGTCCTATAAAACTTTATGGGTGGATTTCTTGAATGTGTGGAATTGCCTAGAATGGTTAATGGGATGCCGCTCGTCGTGATTTGAATGGATTGCATTGAATTTAAGACCTGCTAAATGGCCAGCAGTTCACGGATATATGGCCGCACGAGGTTGGCTGGAGTAAGCCCTTAAAAAGCGGTTTGACGTCGCTCAGAGTCGTACTGAAGTCAATGTTCATTCATCAAGGGTGACGTAGTCAAGTATTCCAAAAGAAACGTCTTAAGAATGTGATTGACCAGGTTTGTCGATATGGGCAAGAGTTTATAAAATTGGTGGGAGATTGAGCAGGTCATACGATAGCCTTCTGACTGATTTCGCTGCATTGGCTATAATTGGCCAAATGTATGTATAGAAGTACATGCGGTGGGCATGGACCATGTACAACATAGTCATTACATAGACATACTCGCATGAACGGCGGTCTACGGACATGAGCAATGACAATCAGTAAGTTTAGCAGGATCATGATGAATGGCTATGATTGACCCGGAAATTTTGACCTGCGTCATGGCAAGTCCAGCCCTTTGATGAAAATACCTGCCTAAATTGTGAATCATGCGTCGTGTAATTAGAGCCATTGATCTTTGTGGGATATATATAGGGTTCAAATGGGCTCCGTATGAACTAGGGCGTTGGTTCAAGTGGTTTATAGGGGCTCAGTCAGGCTTAGAAATGGCAAATCGTTGTGCAAAAAGAAGAGTATAGCTGGAAGCAAGAAGAATAGAGATGCAAGCAGAGTCTCTCTTTGCAAGGAGAGTGGTCGAGGTCTTGCAAATTAGAAGTTCCAAGTGTCATTCATCAAGCACACTAGTAAGGAGTGTAGTAGAAGGACATATTCACATAGATGCAATGTCCTTTTCTCCCTTCCGATTCAATTTCCGATATCTTTCGTCATCCTTCTTTCTCTTATTCAGAAAAATCTTTGTTAGGGGGCACAGACCAGTTGATCAGATTGATAGATTGTCCGTTTGCTCCAACCTTCCAAGGGTCTCAATTTCTTCATTGAACAATCGACAAGCCACGTGCATCCTCGCAAACTCAAATCGATAAGTTCAAACGACCAATCTTTTACGTTCATCCATCCAAACCGTGCTCATAATCAACAAGGATCCACCTATTCAGCATCGTTGTGAAAATTACTGATGTCTCAACCAATGCCCAAATGTAAGTGTCGGTTGGGTAGGTAGAGAGATCCATTACATCGACTCTCGTAATAAAATTATTTCGGGGACTGTTTCCAGTATTCATGCAGTCGAAACTGCACAAGACCCTGCAAAGTTAACAAAGAAAATAATAAAAGGACAAAAAATCGCCATGTGCTCCTGATATTTCAACTTATTTCTTGCTTGGCCCCTCACATGTTGCAGGCTCTGATAGGTCTTACCTAATCTTTGCCTTCTCGAATTTCCCTCTTTCAAGGAAAAGGCCGAGCACAAGAAAGGCGTGCGTGTCCGAGACACGGAACAACGACAGACGAACCGACCCACTCTGTCGGGGGGGCAAATCTTTTGGTCCGAAAAAGCAGCGTCTCCTTCCCTTTTTTTTTCCCCCTGGTGAATTGCAAGGGGTGACATCTTTCGCCTTTTATTCATCTACCCCGTTGTTTTGATTCACTGCCTGCCTTTGTTATGAATGGGTTTGAATGGAACTGGATGTACATCGAAACGACGAAAGGTCCAAGCAAACCAAATTTCCTGTCGCAATGATGATGACAATGATGATTCTGCACTGACCAGATCAATCATGACAACAACATGCATCCCCCCATCCCCACCGGACTATAATTGCTCTCCCTACAGTGAAAAGGATGACTCGTGCAACTGGGCACAAGTGAAGTGTTGGACTTGCATTGCTCTTGCCTCTCTCTGTCTCTGTCTCTCTCTCTCTCTATCGTCCTTTCCTCTCGATGCGTCGTCCTTTTGGTTTCATTATTGCTCGATAACAGCACGGTGGGGGTTCCTGTTGCTGAGGGCAATAATGAAGGAGCTCAGAGGGTGGAGATAGATCGATGGGATTCAATGGAGAAGAATTATCGGAAGACCAATTTGCACTGCGGTTCTCAGCTTTCCTAAACCAGAGAAAAGGGAAATTCATCTCCTACGAATTTTGATTTCGAGCCGCGTGGATTTGATTAATTGTCGAGACAAGGAGACGGGAGAATTAATTGCCTAGACGGGAGAAAAAAAGCTAAGTATGCCAACCAACTTCGCAACCCGGGGAGTTTTAGGAACATATACTAGTGTTGGGATACGAAAACAATACGAGATTTTTTGCTAACAATTGTCTTCGGACGCTTGTTAAACATCCAGGCAAGAAAATTTCGTTGTTGCTAATTAAGGTATCGTTTCTTTTGTATTAGGAATATTATCACGTTCACCACCGGTGTAACAAAAACACTTCCACATTTGCGGACGGATGAGCAGCGTATGTGTGTTTGGAGTAAGTTTTACAGTTGAATTCTTTCACGTCTTTAATAATTGAACCGTGAATGCGTAAGTTATTGTGACGGTGGACCAATAAAAATCCTCCGTGTCATGTGTGTAGTCGACAATCATAGAATTGGAAATTTAAAACATTTGCATTCTTAAATATGGCGAGACGTTGATGGACACCCTTATCTATGATGTAGGTTATACACCACTCCAATTGGCATGCAAATTTAAAATAAAAATATCAACAATACTTATATCGTCGGGTCGGGTTGGGTCGGGTTAGCTCATGCTGGCACAGCGTCGCGTGGGCCCCGAGCGCTCATTGTAATGAGTTCACCTTATTAGCCAGCCTCTGGATTTTTTTTTTCAGATTTGACGAGCCTTTAGAGTAGTCAATGAATCACAACCCTACCGTTTCTGGCCAACGGCTGCATTCGTCTTTTTAGCCTTAATGCCGTTTTTGCTCGTCGGCACCAGTCCCTTCCTAGCCATTCCCAAAAGAATGTTTCCTTCTTTTAGTTATTTTTTACAACGAGTTTTGCAGATTCACGTTACAGGCCGAGCGCGACTCTCATTGCACGGATTTCACATGATAGGCGTAGGGGCGTGTCCTCGAAAGCTCCCCCAATTCAGTGCTGTGCAGTGCAGGGCAGGGCACGGTTCCACGGTTATCTGTCGCACCCTTTTGGGGGCCTCAATGGCAGAATGGGACTAGCGCCAACAACATCATGTATAATAAGGTCACACAGGTGGGAGATTAGACGATGATGATGATAAGTCGCTGTGATTCATCATCAGGTTTTAAGGGGGGGACAAGATAAGGTGGGTGGGGGAGAGCGAGAGAGAGAGAGGGAGGGACGGGGACAGAAAGCAGAGGTTGTGAAATGGAATCATGACACGCTCTGACGAGAGGAGCAGAGACTGTTGTTTGGGGGAGTACGTGCGTGAACCCCACCACCAAAGTTACGACGAGGGAGAAACAGAAAACCATGCTTTAACTTTCCCCCACTGTTTTTTTGACAGAGCCCCGGATTGAAAAAAGGTAGGAAGGAAAAAACGGTGGTTCTGGTGCTTCCCACAACGGGGTAAAAAAGCGGGTGGGCCACCGTCGTCGGGACTCCCGACGGAGGTGTAAACCGTTCGTAATCGACCCGTTTCCGCTGCCAAAGCCTAAACGGTGCGAAGGTGCGAACAATCGGCACGAAGATGGGCATGCAAAACCCGAATCGCCGGCTCGTTTTTTTTGGGGCTAGACGTTCTAACGCGCTCTTTTCACCGGCCGCGAAAAAACATGATCGGACCGCTCGGATAAAACCGAGTTACCAAAATTGCGAAGAATACGTGAGGAGGAGGGGAGGCTTTTCTTTGTCGTGATGGATGGAAGGATGACACGACGTGGCTGCGGCCTTGGAGCACGGGAAGCAAAAATAATAGCAGTGCGGAAAACGCATGCAAATTTGCATGTCAGGTGGGACGACTTTTTCTCTCTACACCTTTTTCTTCCGTCGCCTTTTTCCCCTTTTCTTTTGTTCATATTCCTATTTATAAACTCAAAAAGAAAAAAAAAAATCTTCTCTTGCAAATCTCGATCCCCGTCTCATTATTTTATTATCATTATTTTTTTCTTGAAAAAGAGTTTGGTTTTGGCAAGTGGGGACGTCCCCCCACTACGGTCGCTTAGTGATCTGCGCTGCCGCAGGAGAGCCAGAAAACACTGTGCAACTCAATAACGACAGAACAGAATATTTAGTATAAAGAAAAAGAAGAAAAGAAAAAAGAGGAGGAGGAGAAAATGTTAGAAATGGCAGAAGAACAGCGACATTTGCGCGCGCCCCCCCTCGCGTGTCGGCTCTTCGTCCGTTCTCTCGCTCGCTCACTTTCTCATGGGCGCGTATCCCCCACGCTCCCCTCTTTTTTTTTTTTGCGGCTCCTTTAGCCCCGGGATTTTTTTTGTCGGGCCTTTTCTATTTCTTTTAGAACGTGAACAATAACCATTGTGAAGAGTAAGAAATTCCTGCTTTTTAATTTCTGTTCTAAACCCGTCTCTAGACCAAAAATTTATCTCGAAAATAAAAAAAATAAAATTGCGTTACTAAAACGCTTTTCTGTTACAAATTTATTCCCAAAAACAAACAAAATAAGAAAAACTGAGAAAACGGCACCCTTCTCATCCGAGGAAACTATACTTTGCACAAATCTCAATTTTCTGCTCTTTTTTGTAGCCAAAATTGGGAAAAAAAAAACAAAAGACAGAGAGATTTGAATCTTCCTAAAGTTCATCGCGAGATTTTACCATGATGGGCTGCGGCAACACTGCTCCACTAGAAAATTTTTTTGCCGGCACAGCCAAAACTTAGCAGCAGCTTGATCCCAGCGTTGGGACGGCGACGCGATTTCGAGCTAAAGGAGAGGGGACCGAATTGCAAAAGTGGGAATACAGAAGAGGCTCGAGATCAAAACAATGTGCAAAGATTTTTTCCTTTTTTTTCCTTTTTGGGCCATTCCGCATTTCTTGAGATTTTTTTTTTGTGTGTTTTTTTTCACATATCACCAAACATTCACGCCACGTTAACGACGAAACTGGCGTTCTTGGCAGACTGACACACCGGACACGCCCGACACGACGGCTCGCAGGCCGTGCACACGCACAGGTGCCTGCACGGCAACATCAGCACCCGCGCCTCCTCCTTCCCGCACTCCCTGCACCACCACCGCCGCCGCCCCCGCCGCCTCCTCCTCTCCTCCCTCCCCCCCGCCCCCTCCCCCTCCCCCTCCCCCGCCTCCGCCGCCGCCGCTCCGCAATCCTCCGCCCCCTCCTCCCACCAACCGCCGCCGCTGCTCCCGCAGCACGACTGCGCGTCCTCCATCAGGGCGTTGTCGTCGACGCCGCCGTTCCGGCGATGGTTCGCGGCGGCGGCGGGGTCGTCGAGGTCGGCCGTCTCGCCCGCGTCGTCCGCCGCCGCCGCCGTCCGGACCTGCGCGAGCACCTGCTCCAGGTTCGTCCTCAGCGCGTTCGCGGTGGCTTCGTTCGCCTGCGCCAGATCTCGCCATATCTGGTTCTCGATGCACAGCGACTTGATCCTCTCTTCCAGCGCGTAGTTCAGCTTCCCGATCTTCTCGATCTCCTCCTCCCGCGCTCGGAGCCGCTTCGCGAGGCCTTGCCCTATCGATTCCGCCAGCCTCCTCGCTTGGCTCTTTCGCTGCTCGTCCATCTCCGCTCGCAACTTCTCCATCTGTTTGATTAATCAGTCGGATACAGTTCGAGATCAACCATTGCCCAGAAGAAGCCCGTAAAACAGTAACGACTGAAAAGATCGACGCCGCGATATCGCCAAATATAGCGATGGAATCGATACTCACGTGTTGTGAAATGAGGCGGTCGACGTCGAGGAACTGGTGCTGGACGTGGAGAGAAACGTCTTCCCCGAGGAAGGCGAAACGGCCGCAACCGCTCCTGCCGTCGGGCTGAATCTCCGCCGTCGAGAACGACAAGGCTTGGTTAGAGTCCCTGGGGCGCTTCCTCGAGGACGACGACAACGAAGGCAGGGCGGTGGTGTTGTTGTTGATGTAGGTGATGCCGCTCTCCGACTTCAACGGCGCCGCCCCCGCCGCCCCCGCCGACGCCGACGTCTTGAGATGCAGGGGCTCGTCGAGGGCGCGAGCGGCGGCGAGATGGGCGTTGAGGTTGTGACTGTACAGGGGAAACAGGAGAGAATCAGCGGTAGAGGTTCCCGACAAGGGCAGCCCGTACACCGGCTGCGAGCTGTACATGCCGGCGTTCGCTTCCACAGGTGGGTGGTGGGTCATCATCATCCCCCCTTCCCTGCAATTCAAAACCCAAAAGATTTAGCAAAACCCCGGAACAACGAAGAACACGCAAATCAAGAAAAGACGAGAGAGAGAGAGAGAGAGAGAGAGAGGGTACCACCTGCTGCCGAGGAGCTGCGGAGGGAAAAGATGAAGATGCCGAGACTCCACCGCCATGGGAGAGGGAGACAGGTCTCTCTGCGTGGGTTTTGCTCTGCTCTGGTTCTACCTTTGGGCCGTGGAGGGAGATGGAGAGGGAGAGGGAGAGACGAAGGACCAGTGGAAAGGAAGGAAGTGCATGCGGTGCAAGATATAGGTGCCCGGGGGGGGGGGGGGGCTCCCTGTCAGGATTTGCGAGAGAATCTAATTACTATATAATACACGACGACTTTATTCTCTCTTACTTTTATGTATATATATATAGTTTGGGAGGCTTGTCGATTTATGGTATGCAATTGTCAGAACTGCCCCCTTTTCTTTTCTTTTTTTGACCTTGACTATTCATGTTGTGTGCATTACTTTGGAGACTACTCGATTGATTTCTTATTCCTTTTTCCTCTTTTGGGGTACGGGTGGCCGCAAGTAAAAACTGTTCTCTATATGCTCGCTGGTGAGACGGTCCGGCTAGACTCTCTCTTTCGGCGTACATACGGGCGTATCTCGTATTCCATGGCCTCGGTCTAATCGTGATCTCGCTATTAACGGTTCTCGATCGGTTCGCCTTTAAGCAATTCCTTTGATGAATTGGTTCCGATCCGCGTTCGAATACCATATCATCGTTCGTCACGTGTCGCCCTACCGTGCATAGGCATTGGCGAGGTGGTTTCTCTATGTGATGGTGAGTTTGTCGGGGCAACCGGGGGTAAACTTCCCGAGACGTGTGAGTAGTCGTGGTCGCATTGAATGGCATGAATTGAAGGAGGAAGGGGCTTGTTGGAACAGCGCCGCTCCCCTCACAATTTTTCTTCTCTCTTCTTTGGAAAAATAAAAGGGAATTTGACCGGTCGAAGGGGGGCTTTGAACGAGATGTGGGAGCGTCGTCCATTGCACGTTGCTTGTCAGGTTGAGCCCTCTCCCTCCGGAACCGCTTCGGTCGATTGGCAGAGACCCGATGCCTTTCAGCTCGTCAAATTAATGAAGGCGATGGCCTCGTGATGCGAAGAGTTTTTTTTGCGCTTACGGACGTCGTAAAGATGCCACTCGTCGCCTCGTTTCGATGGGACCCGTTGAAGTGTGGCTCAGCACCTTGCAAGGTCATTGGTTAGTTTTCTAGGAAGCGAATGTGCTCTTTCACGCAAAGTTCGATGCTATTTCGCACGCTAATCACGAAAATTTTACCGAGTATCTTGACTGAACCCATGTTAACGCAACTCGGATCGAGAAATCTGTCAGTGTCTTCAAAATCGAAACTTTCCCCCATAATTTTGTTCTTTCTCAATTTCACCGCAAAAGAAAGGATATCCGTGGGAGATGCACCCAACCATGAATGCGATATGGACGTGACAAGTGGATGCCTTATTTGGAGTGGAATTATTGGCAACCCAATTTTCCCAATCAAAAAAGAGAGAGAGAGAAAGAAAGAACTGCTCGTCCTACACCACGAAAAGGACAGCGTCGTCGCATCATTTTCCTCGGAAGCAACCGATCGAAATTGAAAGAGAGAGAGAGAGAGAGAGCGAGAAGAGAGAAAAGGGCGATGGCAGTATAGCACGACCATCGAAGCGCAGCGTGTTCGCGGGTGAAGCGCTCGACCGGTCAGACGTCTTGGCTATTTTCAATCGGGACATCTTCATTCTACGTGTTGCTTGTTTTGGATGATAACGGACGCTCGCGAATGATCTCCCCATGTTCTGGTCTAGAGAGAGAGAGAGAGAGAGAGAGAAAGAAAGGGACGATGGAGAAAAACCCCCAAAAAAAACATCAACGTCCAACCTAATCAGGTCTAAGCGTCCTTAGCTATCGTTCTCCGTCGTTGAAAATCGTCCCGACATACGGGGGAAAGCCTCCCCCACCAACATCAGACCGACGCGTCACTTTCGACGGTACGAAGGCCGTCATTTCAACCCGTCCCCAATTTAGTTCCGGATCAATTAAGGACTCAGACGAGACAACGGGAATTCTCGAATTCTCCTCCCCAATCGCGCGGTGGAAATCGAGAAATCCCCGGTACGCGAGCTCGCTCTGTTCTAGCAAAGCGCGGGGTGTGCCCCCCGCGCTTTGCTCGGAGAAATAGGTACGGGGGTTATGATGAAAAAATTACCAAAAAAGTCCTAAACCTTTTACAATTATGTCAATTCAGTCCTAAACTTTTTTTTTTGGCCATTTCAGTCCTAAACCTTTTACAATTGTGCCAATTCAGTCCATCCGGCCACTTTTGACCGGCCGGCGCTGACATGGACGCGTTCAGGACTTTTTTGGTAATTCTTCCCGGTCACGATAGATCGCGAGTTCCTCATAGATCGAGGAAAAAAAAAACGAACTGGAAAGTTGAAAGGACGTAGTGCTTAATCCGACAATGGGAGCGTGGCTAAGAGTTTGACCATAATTTAAATGGGGGAAAAAAAATTGGAGATGAAGGATTGATTTCTCCCTCCCCTAGGAGTTTGCGGTTTGCGAAGGAAGATGCGTATGTATGTGTTAGCGTCACAGGTCAGGAGTCCAATTTCCCAAGGAGCTTTTGGTATGGGGTGGGGGGGTCTCCCTCGGAATCAGCACCACTCCCCTCCCCTTCCCTCCCCTCCCCTGCAATTAAATTAAATGAAGGGTATCCCCCAGTCGCGGTCTGGTGTGCCTCGTAATTTTAAATCGACCCAATAATACTGTCCAATTTATAGCTGGCCCCGATTTGGGAAAATTAGGATCGATCGTCGTCGAAAGAGTCGGGAAGTTTGCGTCTTTTTTCCCTCGAAGAATATCGACCTCTTTTAAATCTGCCGTGGTATTAATTTCAGGGTCAGTACCACGAACAACTTCGAACTGAAAACTAATTAAATCTAAACTGGAACATTTATGATAAATGAACTATTCGTTAATTTTCATTAATTTTTACTGTCAAATTGCTGAGATGAATGACACGCGGTAGCTAATAAGTTTAGTGATTGGTGATTTTTCGCGGTATTAATCTGATTTAATTAAAAACTAACGGAAAGTAAATATGTCACAAATGTACAAGTTTTGAGTTTTGAGTGGTCGAAAAATTAATTTTGGATAAAATTGTTACAGATATAACAGCTTGAGGTTTTCCGTGATATTAACCTTTAATTTTATAGCTAATAATGTGGAAATTTAATATATACTCTTATTAGTTATGCCTAAATGGGTATTTCTCCGGACATCACTTTTGACAACATCTATGAGTCAAATGATTTCTTTTCCGGCTTTCGTGTGACGGTCATCGACGGGGGTTTCATTAATCAACAAATGCCAAAAGTTTCTTGCTTTTCGACCTATAATAAGCCCTTCCTTTGTTCTTTTTTGTTTTCTTTTTTTTGGCTCTTAAACGTAATTTTACCATCCGCCATCTTATTTACCACCAAATCGATTTAGTACAATAAAGAAGAAGAAGAGAATATGAGTATTGAATTTGAACGAGGGAGGTGATATGAATTTTTGGGGGGTGGTGGTGTTTGGGGGGGAGGGGGGGGGCCCACAGAGGACAAAAGTTGGCAATGAATAAGGAGCAGGAGAGGGGGGTGGGGGGGTTGGGGTGAAAAGTAAAACCGAACAACGAGGGAGGGACGGGGGAGCACGGAGACAACAATGAGTGTGGGAACAGCAGATCTTTTAATGATGTTTTTTTTCTTTTTTCTTTTTGCTGTTGAACGGATCATCGTCGGTGGTGGGGCCCCGGTGGGGCCCCGCCAGATCAGGACCGCCTGTCCCTTTTCCTGACCAACACAGCATGCCCCACCTCCTTCTCTCTCTCTCTCTCTCTCCTCTGATGATGATGAATCCGATTCCCCCAGTTCTTTCCTTGTCCTCGTCCTCTTTCTTTTTCTTTCTTTTTTTTTTGGCCTTTTTTGTTTAATTTGTTTAATCTTATTTATGGATCAGCAGATTAGATCAATTAAGATCTTACCTCCATTTGCGGCAAAGAACGACCGCATCTTAGATTAGGGGGGACGTTTCGATAGCGACCTATCCACAATAATTGACCATAATCAAGACGTACTTCATCTCTTCATCATCAGCTGGGGCAATTAACAAAGGGGGGGGGGGGGGGGGGGGGTCGTCTTCCCTCCCTTTTTGGTTTGTTTATCCGATAACCTAATTTCTGTTCCGAAATTGGAGATGTGTCTACATAAAGAAATAGGAATGATCGATCCCCAAGCACCCATCTCTTCTTCATCAGTGGGGGCAATTAAACAAAGCGGGGTCCGTCTTCTCCCTTTCTGGTTTGTTAATCCAATAATCTAATTCTGTTCCGGAGTCGGAGAAGTGTCTGCGTACAGAATAGGAACGATCGATCCCCACGCACCCCCCCGTTCGGGCCACCTTTTTGCAAGTTTAAGTCGCCCCCACCCACTTCCCCGATTCTTCGTTTTTTTTAAGGGAAAAAAACTCTACATCGTTTGGCTGTCGCTAGAGGACAGCCCGAGACGGCACTCGATGATGTCTCTATCATTCCGATAAAAGAAAAGCTCGGTGCATCGGCGTCGACTGACTGGCTGGCTGGGCCGACGGTCGCCCGAGTCATGATTCGCGTGTTCGGTGGTGGCCGCATTATCGCGGGAACGGAATCATTCCGCGTCCCCCCCTTCTCCCTCTTTTCGTTCGGGCTAAAGCTATTCCGTGTGTGTGTGGCTAGATTGATCAATCATTTCGTTCGACCCTCTTCATCATCCATGGTCATAAAAAAAGCGCTCTCGAGCTAACTTTTCCTTACCCTCCCTCTCCCTTTTGTGCCCCGTAATTGTTAGGCAGGAGATGGGAGGAGAGAAAAAGGTTCGTGTGTAAGTGTCGGTCATGGAGGGTTGGTCTTTCTTTGTTACTTTTTCTTGTTTTTTGGGGGTGGGATTCTCCTGTTGTTCTGTTTTTTTGGGTGTTTGAAGTTAAGTGGGCTTTTTGACAAAGATGTGATAAAATCTTCCCCCCCAACACAGATTAGCACCAAGTCATGGTTGAGATGATGATGATGATGGGTCAACCATCGCCACCCAATTGGCCCACCACATGTATTTCCGCCAAATTTTTTTCAAAACTTCTAAGTTACAATCAACACCACCACCCCCCCACCCCAATTCTCCGATTATGACGGCTCCTCCTCGTCCTTACTTTTCAAGGGTTTCGTCTCCCCCTTCTTCAGAATTGTTCTTTCCCTCCCACCTCCGTTCAACATCAACGCGGTGGATCGCTCTTTATTCGGGTCGGTCGGTTTGTCCTGGAGAGAATCTCGCGACTTCATTGCTTTGTGCGGTTTCGTATTTGGGCGTGATCATCGATGCAATGCTGGTTGGGCCGTCGATGTCGTAGAGACGGCATCATCGTTGTCGTGTGTGTACGTTAGTTTTGACCGGGGCCACCACGATTCAAGACCATTGACCTTGGAAAAACGGGGGGGAAGTGATGTGCATTGTCCGATTGAAAACAACGTCGTTGGTTCTAGTATTAGGCAGGATTCCATTCGGGACTGACTCGCGAAGCATCTCGGGCGCGCACGTCCGGGTCAATCAAATGCGTCGGCTAGTTTAATCCGGGGAAATTTCCCGCAATCTGACGTGATTCTTGCGGAGCCGTGAAGCAATTAATTTTGGAATTTAGCCCGGAGGGGGATGGGACCACTCATGAACCTCATCTTCCGACTTATATATATGTATATATTACACGATGTACAACATGATTATTTTTATATGTTGAAGATTGCATGGCTTGAATTTTTCTCTTCCGCCTTACCCGGTCATCATGCGTTTTGATTCGAGCATGGTCCAGCATCGACTTGAATTCCTTAATCTCTTAAATGGTGTTTCTAAATTACGTCTCTCTAGGCACAGCCTAATACGACCGTAATTGAAAACAACTATCGATCCCACATAATTCCCCCCCTTCAGAGATAAAAGCTCGGACTAATCGTGCTTACCCACGACGGTGGGGCCCCAGGTTCCGACGGCTCATCACACACGTCGGATTGTGACCGTACAACATTTGGTTTATATTTTAATGGGAAAACGTGTGATGATTTGATTCCAATGCTGCTGCTGCTTGGAGAATGGCATCTTGGGCGGAAAGAATATAACTAGGGATTGTCAAAAGGTGTTTTAAAATCAATTTGTCGAAGTGGCTGTTCTCAACGCGAGGTGTCCCACCTTCAAATTATATCATATTTGCTTAATTCGATTTCATGTGAAAAGAGTTGTCTTGGTATAGCGGTGCACTGCACATTGGAATCCTCATGTCACCAACCAAAAGAAAAGCCAACACAAAATCGTACCCTTTTAATTATACCATTACTATATGGAAGTGCCTTGAAAAGGATGTGCGAAATTAAACTAACACCAACTCCCGTTGCTTTGCTCCCAGTCACACGTAAAATCACACGTCCCATTCTCACGTGGGTCCGACCCATATGCACACCTTGCTCGACATATAAATGTACATGTGTATATAACGTCAAGGTGTGTCCAACATGCAACCAAAAAAGATGAAAGAAGCCGTACACGCGCGACAACTCGCTCGTCGTGTACGCACCCGACCATGCCTAGACAAATAAACCTTGACCATTCACAATAAGAGCGCCTCTAGACAAATCTAAAAGGGCCAAGCTTCTGCAAGTACCCACGTTTGATTAGACACCGCCCGAGCAGTTTTAAATCGCATGAGGCCGAGATTTGCCGTATTCAACTTACCCTCCTTTTTCATTGGTTTTTTTCTCTCCCCCCAATACACGTTATTCTCGCGCAGGGATTGATGGGTGAACAGGTAGGGACTGGCACCATCAGACACATTCAAACCAGAATAGATCCAGTTCACATCTGCAGCTCTGGCCCCTCTCGAGTAAAAGATCACACAAGTCAAGAAGGAGAGCAGCTCCTCGTCAAGAACGACACTGTTTGGGAAGTGGGGACACGGTGTAAATGGGTGGAAATGGGCATCAACATGAGTAGCCCACTTTAAAGTGACATGAGACCCATGCACATCAAGAGCACACCCCCATATATGCTCCAAAATCTTTGAGTAGTTTGAGGCGGGGGCCACCGGGATTATATGGACAGTAGTAGGGGAGCACATCACATTATTTGTACACATTGAGAATATGGATGGATCCGATCGAAGTCGTCGAAGAGGGAAGCAAAGGGATGCGAAGTGCCGTGATGTGGAACCCCCCCACCATTCTTTTTCCTTTTTTCTTTCGGCCTTTCTCCTTGTGAAAAGGGGCAGTCGTCAATCAATGTTCCATCAATCTCTCGGAAAGCCCTTGATAATTCTCGTTGCTTTCTCTTGTTTCCCCTGCTGATTTTTATGTTCCCCTCCTTTAACATACCGGCCCCACCCCCAACACACAACGCCCCCCCCCCAATCTCACCAGTACCGATTGGACCACCCCCGCACAGCTAGGTCAAATTCGGAATCAAGGGGCTCTTCACATCGAATGGGACATCTCAGGAGTCGTGCCCGTCACAGCTTCCTCCGCATTGAAAGCCCCCCCTTGAGATAAGAGAACGAGCTCGCGTTGGGGCCTTTCATGCAACTTTGGTTTCTACTTTACAGTGGTGGAATGGAACAATTATCCTTTTTCAAAACGAGTTCCCTTTTGCTTTGCTTTCCCTCGGTCGCTTCGTAAGTGGGCTGCCATATCCTTAAAAGAAGAAAAAAGAAAAGGGTAAGTGGGGTCATGATGATGATGGGTGCACAAGTATATAAATGAGAATCCATGAACCTGCCAAAAGTAAGAGAGAAGAAACCCGATGCTCGCCTTGAAATCATGACCCATTGTTGCGGTTCTTTTTCATAGCACAAGGAATTCTCTCCTTTTCGACGTGGGAATTTCAAGGAACCTGCGATGAGTCTGCTTTACGTGAGATTGCAACTAGGAGTGATGGGTCTGGAGAGATGGTGACATTGTTTACTGCAGATTTCAAATCAGAGAAGGGAGCTCCCACCCCACCCCACCCCACTATGGAGGATCGAGCGAAAAGAGGAGAATAAAAGGAAACAGAAAAAAGGAGAGGAAAACAAGAAAATTAAAGTAAGACGAAAAGGAGACTGTACTTGGGAATAAATTCCATTTTTGTATTTTCAGGTTTGATGGTGGTGGATAACATTTCGATGGGTGTGAAGTGTGAACATCAGCTTCTTCCACTACCACTTTATCTCCATGTTTTGGGACCCTATCATATCTCACAGCATATCCGTTAAGTGTGGCTGCAAAACCCAAATATGTTAAGCATCTTATGCAATCTTTAGTGTTTGACCTGATATCGAAGATTTGATCACTTACACATGTTTACGAGAACAAGTTAATGTAAAAATCATAATGATCGAGGATGTACGATTAGTTTGCAATATGATGCGCGGAATACTTCGCTATCTTGGACAGAAAAAAAATCTCTCCCCCTCGTTATATCGTTCGTGTCCTGCATGAACCGATGCTTAGCTATACACTAAAATACATATACCGGCAATTGAGTTTTAGTTACCAATGGGTACAAGTCATATTTAAGTGAGAAGAAGAGAAGAGGTGTTCTGTGTGAGAAGATAATAAGCTGTGTTTTTCACTCTATTAGGCGCATAATGATTTGGAGTGATTGAAGTTATGTTAATTAAAATTCAGAAAGTTGGTGATAGCTTCGTGAAGAAATTAAACACCCGAACATGAATCTATCACCGCGTGTCGAGAAACTATTCTCTTGGTAGGGTATTGATATAGTGAACATTCATAATGCAACTTCTTGTATTCTCATCTGCACTAAGCATGACTTGTTTGACAAAAGCGATCTTAGAGAAGGAAATCATTGTATGCACAATACAGGGACCAAAGCCATCAAACGATCCTTGTAGCTTCCCTCTTGTTTCCCTGTTTCCTTCCGGGAACTCAGCGTCCTCCAACCTCGAGAGTCTTATAACTAGTCGGCACTTTGGAAGACATTATTTGTTAGGTGGGTCCACATGAATATATTAGGCAAAGCGGCGAAACGATCAAAAGAAATGGAACCAAAAAACTGAACGTTCAATTAAATATCATTCGCCGAAAATGGTCGTTTGTTTTCTCAATGAAGTTTTTTCAACTAAAACCCTCTCCACAATGTGTCTTTAGATGATTATAGGTGACCGGCTCGCGTGACTTACATGTTTAGCAGATAGATGCAATTCGCCGTGAATCAGACAATGAAACCGACTGAAAACCACGTTCACTAGTTCATGCTATCTTGAGAAGAGGGAGGACGGATCATGAGTCCACATTACATATACTGCAGAGTCTATTGAAAGTGATGACAACTCAGCTTTAAATTCATGTCTGCGTACATTTCGGTCCGAAGTGTGACTTCTGAAGTAGACAGTGCTCATCTCAGAACCCAATACTTCTTCTCAAGTTCATCGCATAAATGCATCAAATGAGTCGGTAGCAATCGCATCACAGAAGCATCAATCATGCATACTTGAGACTTCCTTCACTCCAACTAAACATATCCCTAAAGAAATAATCTCCAGCTTTTCCTGAAGATTGCCAACCATCCCTGGTCAGTTAAAAGCTTTGAAATGGATCGCTAAACCTTCTTCACCGTGGTAGACCGCTGTGAAACCATCTCCAGAGTAAGTTTCACAGAATAGAACCTTTTGCCACTTTCTTTCCATGTAATTGAAACTGATAGGGTAAAAGCTAAAAAGATATCTCACTATGTCAACTCAGTGACAGCCTTAAAGTTCCATAAGGCGATAAAGCTATAAAAAAAAATAAAAAAAAAAACGTAGGAGGAATGATAACCAACATGAAATCAAAAGGAGAGGCCCGCTGACATGGAAATAATATCATTACCAAAATAATGTGACCCAGTACAACTCCTGTCAACTCAAATCACATTGTTGTTTAAATCCTTGGATGATATATTCCCACCTAGCTTTGTTCATCGGCCAAATGATGAGAAACAGATAAAAATATGTAAGAAACGTGCGGGTTCTGTACTTTGACTAAGTTTTTTCGATGGAAATCCCGAGTCTTACAGCAGATGGTGTCTTCCTTAGTGCAATGAAGTGTGAAACTTGAATTTCTGCAAAAGAAGACAAAATTAAGTAAGTGAAATGAAAAGCTGGCTTTAACCAGCTCGGCTCATTATTCAAACACATGGTTCAATGAACACAAGGTGAATCTCATCCTCAAAAAAGTTCAGGTACATTTCCAACATGGCGGCGAATTTCCAGCGAATTCCTCTATACAAAAGCTATAAACAAATTGACAGCTTTTTATGTGCAATTTGCTGAATTGTAACAAGGAAACTTGGCATTCTAAACTTATATTAATTCAATAGCCAATAGATCTGTCACCACTGAAAGCATATATTAAGTGAATCAAAAGTTTCGCCATGTTGAAGATCTGCCTCGACACTGCTTAAACTTCTGTGCATTATGCAACAGGCCATACTAATTAACTAAATTGGCACGAGAACGAGAAAACATATCATTATCATAATACCATTGGTACTTTTTCCCCTATACACATATTATATGAAGGAGAAAAGGACTGATCATAAGCTATGGAGAAGTTACTTACATGTACAGATACATTGGCAGATGTTACTGATATTTAGCCCCATGCCATAGAACAAGCATAATTAACAACGAGCTTACCATCAAAGCCGAAATTCTGCATCAATCAGATTGCCATAAATCAGGTGAGAAATACAGTTAAAAGTAGTTATTCTCATTCAAAATGATAGTATATCCATATAACGCTGTAAGAAGGTAAAGCCTTTTAAATGGAAAGACCGATACAGTCAGCAATATATCCGTTTTACACAATAGATAAGAGATTAACTCTGTCAGAAGTTTTCAAAACTTCCCACGACTCCCACAGAATGAACAATCTTCCATAATGACTAACCACTAGTAAACTGACCAAAATAGCAGATGATTGTTGGTATGATTGCCGGTATGATTGCTACCCAATATCCCTAACTAGTTGGGTCAAAGTCTTTGAGAAAGGGGGACTCCTTCAAGAAGCTTCTGCCCCCAAGTAGTAAAATTCATGGATTTCAAATTTTCTATCTGCAGCTGTTTCTTTAGAGAAATATTCACCATTAGGTTCAGGGCATAATTCTACGAGTAAGAACCACAAACCAAGAGGCAAATGTCCCCAAATGGTCAACTACTTATTTAACGCTACATCTACCTCCCGTGTCCACTTCTACAATGAAAACACCAAGTTCTGTGCTTAGTTTCCTACGTTTCATCATCATCATCTAGGCATTATTTCTTAATTAGCTAATTGAATAAATATAACAGAAAGAGAGAAACTGCCGCAATGGAATTCTACTTACAGAATTAAGAGGAACAGCAATGTAAAATATGCAATATTGAAAGCACTTGCCTCGTACAGATCATTCACCAGTTCATCTGGGTTGGGCGAGAATGCGCTGTTTACATAGACAAACTGCCCGAAAAAAGAGAGAGCGGGAAAAAAAGATATTTGTTAAGGTACAATTTACGCCTTCCAAAAAATAGAAACATACCAGAACCAGCTACCTACCAATGTCTCCCGGTGAAGTTGTCGGCAAAGAAAGTCAATCACTTTGGCAAATTTTTCTGCCCCAGAAATCTGCCGTTTCCATAGTGATCATCACATGAATATCAAAGATTCAAGAGTTCACTATATCACCACATTCAACGATTTTTCTCATGGAAAATAGATACATCAACTTATGCCACCAAAGCTTTAATATTAGAACACATTCATGCAAATCTGATGAACGCTGGTTTCCAAGGAAAAATCCTTTTTAAAAAATGGAGTTAGGTATGAGAATGGCCTCGCCAAGCGTTTAATCTATTAAGTTTCAAGATCATGGGCAGTAAGTGATCAATAACAACGATCTGGTAATATCCGGTGTAAATCTATATACAATTGACCAAGAGTCGAAGATTTTGCCTTTCAAATCTTGGTTCATCTATAGAACAGAGATTAAATTGATATCATTTAAAAGAACCCCCAACTTCCACTGTTAAATATTATCTTACTTGCAGACTGAACCTCTATTCCCGACACGAGACATCTGACCCGAAGTAAAGTCAGTTCAAACCAGAACCGCCTACAAAGATGCATGAACACTGACCTGAATCAGCCCTCCGTGAAAACTATAACCTAACCAAAATCAACATCGGAAGCATTCCAATCACACTATATTTCTGATATTCAATCTCTCAGCTCAAAATATCTCATCAGCCTATGACTAAACTTAACACCAAAATGGAGGCACGACTCGAAGAGATAGGACTAAGTTTCACCACTCAAAGGCTTTGCTAGGTCCACAAGCACCTAACATTGAAATGGAATAAATTTACGCAGAATGGAATTCCTTCCCTCACTGTTGTTTGGATGATTTAAAATCCCCTATCTGAAATAGATAAGTTGGGATTTCACGGTTTAATGCCACCAATGAATTGGCGAATACCCCCATTGCCATCTACTACTATTGTCCTCTATGTCAGATAATCCAGAGCCGCGTCGCGGAAATTTAATTAAACAATCAACCTTGACAGTTGGCTCAACATACCACCATATTCGCATTCCCTTACCTGTTCAATGTTGTGTTATCGCTGCAAAAACCTTCGAAGTTTGAAAGAAGCATTCGATCAAGCACGTACAGTGCAACCTCGAATTTATTCGGCGAAAAATTAACTTCCGCGTTACGATGCAACCAATTTTTACATACGAATCGTTAATCACCACTGCGCTATGTCAAAAAACATTGAAATCACCGGCCAATTCCACAATGAATCAAGCGACGCCAAAGAGCCAGCAACCGCACGCAGAAACACGCGACACGAACCCGATACATGTTACGCCGTTCGAGAAATTAAGGAGCAATACCACTGACCTTGAATTTGGCTTGCTTCAGAATGGGAGCATCGCCGGTGGCCCTCAAGTGGACAACAACTGCAAAGATCACAAGAAATCCCCAAAACAACAATGCCCACGGAATCAAATTCTGGCAAATCAAGCAATCAAATTCAACACCCAACGAGAAGGAATCGACGAAAACAGATGGGATGGGGGGCGGGGGGGGGGGGGTGGATTTCTTTCTCTCGAGTTCGTTCCGGGGACTCACTCTTGCGATCTGAATTGGGAGAATCGGACGCCATTTGCTATCGGAAAACTGGGAATCGCTTCAAGAAAACATCGAGCGGAAGCACTTCGAAAAGATCGCCGAAGCAAAGTTATGGAATTTGACCTTTTTATTTTTCGAATTCGAGCCCATTTTATACTTTTCTCTGCAGGGTTTGGTTGTGCGTGGGCCTATTGTTTGTCTGGGCTTCGTGCGACGCCTTCCGGAAGGGCGAAGCCCATCCATTTTGAAGGACCTCGTTGGAAAGTAAAAAAAATGTTTCTTCTAAAAGGCATTTTCACGCAATAAACAAAAATTAAAACTAGAAGTAAAATTTAAATCTAAAAAAAAAATATTTAAAAAATAAAATTAATAATTTTTTAACCATTTCCGTAAATATATCCCGAAATTTGGAACGAGTTTTTATTATGTTGGTAATTTGGCTTTGGAACGTGGGGCTTTCGATATTTTCTCGTGCCATCGTTCGAGCAATTTCTGGAAAGTCGAGGTCCTTGATATTGAAATGCCTTGCCTAACATTTTTCAGAGAACAAAGCAAGTGTATATTGTTTTCAGAGTTCTGGCTTCCGATCAAGCGTTCCAGTGGTAATTAAAGACGCGTAGATTATGCGATCGACCGTTATTAATATAGCATTAATATTTGTCGCCGCAAGCCTCGGGACTCGTTGACCGAGCCCTATTGAATCGAGTCATGGTACATGTCCGTAGCAACTCGCGATACCATTTCCCAATACTGTAACGATACGTATAATGTGACGAATGTTTCTTCCGTACTAGCGAGTACGTTTTTTGTCGAACAGTATCTTATCACACCCCCACATTGATTCATCAACATAAAAAAGTACGAAATTGCCTTTTGAGGTCCTTGCACTTTAAGTGAACGCTCGACTCCAAGAAATTGTGTCGGGGACGACCGAAAATTCATAGAGTCACGACCCTCGTTCCACGCGAGACGTCGTAATAGAACGATGCTTTTCTAGGATGCCCATCGAAAGGAGAAAGTATTCGGTGTTTGCATGGTACTACGTCGTAGGTTGACACGGCATGTATGTTTTACTGAAGCTCAATCACAACTTGACACATCTTGATGACTTGGACAAATATTAGAAAAAAAAAAAAATCCAGCCACAGTTACCTCCTCCATCTGCAGTCGCCGGCGAAGTCGGCGACACTGCGTCCAAGCCGACTGTTACTGTGCATCATGGTTGAGCCACCTCTCCATCGTCGCGGTGGCTCATAGTTGTTGCTGTCCATGACGGAGCCACCGACTTCGTCGCAGGTCGTCCATTTGATGGTGGAACCGTGATCTAGGGAATCGCTAGAGTTGTTATTTTCGAGTTCGGAAGCCCCCTGATCCGAAGGCTTGCTTCTGTGGATGCCCTATATCTGGAAGTGGACAAAGAAGAAGATTATCTCGGGGTGGATGAACAAGAGGCGAGGACCGTCGGTGTGCCCCAGATTTGAGCTCGTAGATGTGGATACCCTAATTCTAAAGGTGGACGAAGAAGAAGATGATCTTGTGGTGGCTTGGCCATGGACCATGGCTCCAGTTGTGGCGATGAACGAATATGGCCGTGAGCGACAATGAAGGGGATGGCTCTATTTGCGAGCGGCAGGACGATGGAGGGGTGGCTCAACCATGGACCTCTCCCGATTTGCCGATGGACGAGCCTAACGGCGACAACGATGAAAGGGTGGACGGGCACCGACCGGAGGCGTAAGAAGAGAGAAAAAGGGATTTGCAAATGTTTTAATCTTTTTTATTTACTTGTCATGTCATAGACAGGCGTCAATGTGTAATTGGATTTTGATACTCAAATTATGTTACGTCAGCCTATGACGCGATACTGTGCAACCACTGAATTCTCATATGGAAAGACAAAGCCACTTCTTTCCCCTTGAAACCCTACGGAAATCACAAAACTTTGGCTGACAAAGCCCGATGATTTGTTACGATGCCTTTGCGGTGCTGGGAACACTCGATGCCACAGAAACCATGCAAGAACTCCATTCAATCATTTTTGTGACACATTAAATTCGCAGTTCTACATATGTAAATCTACATGTTAGAATGGGACTTATACCAAATTGCGGAACCGATGTGACACCGCATGTGGAGTCTTCTCTTCCCTATATCATCGTTTCCATTCCCACGAAAAGCAACTGATATCAATTCCTATCAACGAAGTGGAAATGTCAATTCGAAATTGAAAAAACAAACAAAAAAAATCGATATATATCAAGAACGCAACTGTCTGTAAACGTACGCATACATAATGGGCGTGGGACCCACGATCGAAATGACCTAGTAAGAAAATGAAAGCGAGGCAGCGGTCGTTTTACGGGGTACGTCGTCATTGATTGTTGTCGTGCAGACGTGGGCAATCGGGTGGGACCCGACTAAGAAATTTCGTCGCGAGGCTGGCTGACACCAGGCAAATGGCCATGGCTCCCTCCCTAGGCCGTACCCGACCCGATGGGTCCCAGCCATCATGCGTCAGCGATTACCGAAGTATCCGAGTCGTGAACCGGCTTAGGTCAAGACCAGCTCGGTCGTCCGTCCTAACGTTTTCCCGTCGCCGGGCCCCCGGCTTGATCGAGCGCGACGAGACTCATCGTTGGTTGGGTCCAACGGTCGCGCTTGCGCAATGCGTGACTGCTGCTCATCGAATGTTTTAAGAACTTTTCGATAATTATTTATTCACAGACAGGAACCGGAAGAAGAGAGCTATTCATACATTATTCACAAATTATTCATACAGTAGTAGGTCAGTATGTTTTACGTAGTCAACTCCTAGAGCTCTTTAGCTAGTCATGATGAAGCCAGTCAACCTCGTTCTCGAGTAAGGATGCCACGCATTGCAAGTCTGGTTCGCTCAGTATCGTCCCTCCAGGATTGAAGAATGCTAGGGTTCCTCCGGAGTTCTGTGTCGATGTCGACGACGGCCATGCTGTGTTGTCGCTATCATCTAATCCGCCATTAAGGAAACACGACTGCTGAGTATTAGTGGCGAGTTCAGACTCCAAGAAAGCTTCCAGGAAGTTCGCGTCCAGCTCGAAATCTGCCATGAAATTGCACGAGACATTTGAATTTCCATCTGATGACTGAGCTGTTGCAACTCGATCTTCATGGCGGTCCGAGCTTTGATCTTTGTCGTCCACCATGTCAGGTGCTTGTGCTTCTCTATCTTGACAGGATCCGGGAGAGAGAAGCGCTTTTGGGCATCTTGGTGCCGTGGCACGAGAAACACACGGTTCCACGGGCACGAGAGTGTCATCAATGGTCGGCTTTTCGAGGGCCAACTTGGGGCTTCCTTGGGATGAAGACAACGACGGGCGAGCGGAAACAAAGCCCGAGCGGCTCGAGCTGGATTGTAGTTTCTTTCCGATGGTGGTGTTCCAGTAATTCTTTATTTCATTGTCCGTCCGTCCCGGAAGCCTCCCCGCGATCAAGGACCATCTGCAATAATTCAAACAGACACCATAATTCTTCGTTTCGTTATCGTGAGCGTATTGCTAAAAAAATTTCGAGAGAAGGAAGAAACACCTGTTTCCCAGGAGATTGTGAAGCCGGATGATGAGCTCTTCTTCGTCAAGAGTGATGTTCCCTCTCTTTATGTCGGGCCTCAGATAATTCAACCACCTCAACCTGCAACTCTTCCCACATCTCCTCAGACCTGCACGAGGCCCCCAAAGAAATCAAAAATAATAATCCAGATTACTCAATATAAACCAAATATGTCTCGCAAAATATAGTTTGAATTCTCTCTCTGTGCGAGTGTGTGTGTGTGTGTGTGTGATGGGCGTGATGAGTGAACATGACCTGCTTTCTTGGGAAGGTTTCTCCATTTGCCTTCACCGTTCGCTTTGATGTAGCCAGTCAGAATCTTGTCCTCCATTGCTGTCCATGCTCCTCTGTTCACTCCTTCCTTCGCGCAGCATGGGCTCCTTCCCATTCTCTCTCTGGTAAGTGAGAGTGATACACGTAATTGGTTCTGCGAGAGAGAGAAACTCTGGGACCTGTGTCATATGAATCTTGAAGTTGGTGTGTTACTGCACTTAGTCTCTCTCCCTCTCTCTCTCTCTCTCTCTCTCTCTCTCTCTCTCTCTCTCTCTCTCTCTATCTAACACACACACACATATATAGAATTTTTTTTTTTGCTCAGGCCCGCAACCATTCCGTCAAAGCACGTTTTCAAGCTACATGTTACTCCAAAAATGAAATAAATAAAGGCCTAATTCCTTAGAAAACTTCTAACTTTAGGTCAAGTTCAAATCTATCCCAAATTTTTTTTTTCTAAAAAAAAATTCCAAACTTTAGGTCCAGTCCCAAATCTGCCTCGAACTTTTTTTTGTCTCAGAAAAACCCCAAACTTTAACTCCAGTCCAAAATCTGCCTCGGATTTGTAAAAAAATACCAAAATTCAATTTATTTTAAAAAATATACCCCTGTGATTCAGTCCAAATCAGACGTGGCACTTCCACGTTCATAACAAATCCACATCAACAAAGTAATGGGGCTTTTTTTTAAAGAAAGAAAAGTTCAGAGCAAATTTGGACTGAACCAAAAAATTAGGTTTCGTTTTAAATTAAGAAAAGTTTTTTGAGCTGAATTTATCATCGTCCCTAACTTTCATATCATAGAATGATTTTTATTTTGGAGAATTTCAACAATTTTTATTGGGTTGGATTTGTTATCGAAGTGGAAATGCAATGTCGGTCTGTACCTATCGCCCCATTACTTTACTGATGTGATTTTGTTATCAACGTAGAAGTCCTACATCAAGTTGGGACTGGATCACGTGGGTATATTTTTGAAAATAAATTGAAATTTGCATATTTTTTTTACACAAAACAAAATTTGGGGCAAATTTGGGACTAAACTGAAAGTTTGGGGTTTTATCTGAGACAAAAAAAAGTTCTGGGCAGATTTGGGACTGGACCTAAAGTTTTGGGTATTTTTTTTAGATAAAGAAAAGTTTCGGAGCAGATTTAGGACTTGATCTAAAATTGGGGATATTTTAAGGAATTCACCCAATAAATAAATGATTGGTCCTTTTAACATGACGTAGCAAGTGGAGTGGGGGACCATGTTTCTTGTCTTATAGTTCCTTGTAACGACGAAAACCGTGTTTTAGAAGGACAACCGGAAATGCTACCCGCGCCGCGATCGACAAATTTTTTTTTTGGTGTTATTATAATTGTCAATTAGAAATATAAATGTACTTCAAAATCATATGCTTGTGTTAATCATGAAACTATGTGATTTTTGGGGGATAAATTTATATCTGGTTTATGCACACGACAGGGTTTCAGTCTCCCATATAATTAAATACAAAGAATTCCATGGATTTATGTTTTGCACAGGGAAAGGCCCTTCCCCTTACTAACTTCTTTGGAGTTGTTATCAAATATTTAATTGCGAATGTCTTTAGCCTTTAGGTAATGCTATACTTGTGACCTTAAAATTGAGCTTTGCCCCCATTTTAATCTTCTCGAAAAAAATATAGACAAGTCACACCAAGGCCAAATTGCCCACAAATCGGCAAAAGCCAATAAACAATCATAAACTGTAATTATGATAGGTAAACAAAACATCAATTTATAGTTGAATTTTTAGGTGTAAGAACCTGCCTTTATTTATGAAGCAAAATACTTGATTTGTTTGCATTCATGGCCATATTTGCCCCAGCTAAGAAAAAGTACTATATCCGTACGTCCTTGCTCGCCAATCTAAGCTCTGGCTTTGCGTCTTATTAAATTCATGATATAAGTAGGTTACTTCATAAATTTGGGTGTACCTACCTAAGATGGACTTTCCTAAAGATTAAAATCTATAAATTTATGTCAATTATAGATAAAAGAGCTATCAGGGGCAACGACTTTGATACTCAGCACATTTTATTGGTGCCTATATTTTAACTTCCTAACAAAAATAAATATAAAAAAAAAACTCTAGTTAGTTGTTCTATATATAGAACTCGTGTCGAATTTAGAGTTGAGGCGCATCCTTATTAAAATGGATATTTCCGAAGCCTTTAAATCGAGGACCTAAGAATACCAAGTTTAAACATAGATAGTTAGCACTTCATGTAACCCTTAATAGAAATAGCGAGTTCCTATCGGTTTTAGGATTTTTTTTGTGCATGTAGTCATTGCTAGTATTTTCAAAATCATAAGACAATGACGCGAACATATTTTATTTTCTGCATCAACAAAATTTTTGTCTCTCATATACTATAACCATCAACTTTCTTAACCACATGACAAATTATACAGCTTATAAACGGAAAATTATTTCATTATATGCTTTGATTCATGTATCTTTAGTTTAGAGAACGCCAAAAAACAAGAAAAATAGGGAACAAAAAGAGAGAAATGAAGGATGTAAAGGGAGAAGAAAGTAGATAATGGAGTAGGTGAGCCCAATTCCACACCCACACCACCTATTCTATACTCACTGCTCTGCCCAAGAAGGTTCGAAAATAACCCTCATTTCATCTTATTGTATAGATACGGAAAAACAATTTTTTTTAAAAAAATCCCCTAAGTCAAAACGAATAGTAAAGATTTTCGCGGGGACGACGTCAAGGATCACAAGGGTGACGACAATGCGAATGATAATGATATGCCCAAACTTTGAATGTGGAAGAGAAGTGCACATCTCAATTAGGCCATCCCTACGTGGAATTAGACAATTTTCACATCGCGAGGGGATGTTAAGGTTTGACTAATTGCGCATCAGCGGGATTAAGATTCGACTTTGCGCGCCGTTCAAAATCATTTTACGAAAATGATTAGGTTAGAACTGTACGGATCGCGTGCCTTAATCTTCGCTTTCACCTGTAGGAATTATTTCACCGGCATTTTACATTCCGAGTTAACAGAGAATACCCATTAACTGAAAAAGCTCAGTAAGGTTAGAAATCACATGTTTCACCTGCCTTTCTTGTGCGTGCATGGGCTGCTTTCTGATCTCCCCCAGCAGCTAACTTTCTCGCACGCTCTTGAAAGTTCGTTGACAGTAGACGCCCCGTCGAGAGGAGAGGGACGGTGCTCCTAGACAAGCGGGGGTTTGATCTCCGGTTCGGGAGATGTTTAGGCGTTTTCGAAACTTAAATGTGAAGTTTTAGTTGGACCACTGCTGACCGTTCTGAAAGCTTGAGTTATTAGATGAATGCGTGGTTTATTATTTAAATTTCTAACACTTAATACTCCCTTTCGCCCGAATTGGCAATCGTATAGGTATGACTGTGATGAAATTCTTTCTTTTTCTCCTTTTTTTTTTTCCTTTTGTAGTTCGGGAAACACAAGCGAAGTGGCCCGGCTATCTAGAGGCGTCCATGGGACACCCAAAAAGCCTCTTGAACTAGATTAAGTTCGGGCGATTTGAACTATGCAGGTGAGCCTAACCTAAAGCAATATATACGTAGTTGGTGGGATTTGAACGAGTGACTTTTAGTTCCCGAACTGGAAAAACCTCCGACGTGGGAACAGCTGTGGAAACCCCGGGTTTCTTTCTTTTCTTTTAGAACGAAGTTACATCAATTCTCGATAGATTATGGTAAATAGTTACCGTTCTTGATTTAGATATGGTAATTTCGTATGTGTTTGAACCGCAATATGTGTATTGTCTCCTGCTCAAATAATTATTCTTACTTACCGGGCCCCACCCATCTTTTGTTAAAACCTCGTTCGAGATACATGTGAACGAGGCGATTTGCGTGTATATCCGAGAACTAGTCCAATTGAAAACTCATGTACTCCATAGTACTCGAGGAAAATGACTATATAAATAGCACGCCAAAACTAAATTTGGATGTATTTGAAAACCCTAAAAATCTCTCTCCTCGTACTATGTCTCCTTGGCGGTAATCACAATGCCACGCACCAAGAGCCCTCGCATCAACCACTGTGTTCATTGAGACTTGAAAGAGAGATTGGCTAAATTTAGTAGCTACGTAATGAAGAACAATTGCTTGTTGCAAGTCTCGGATTTGTTGGTGCTCAAGCAGCCTCAGTTTTTTTTTTTTTTTTTTGGTAGTGGTGCCAAATGAAACCTTCTTGTCTTGCATCTTGATTAACATAAACACTCTCTATAATTCGGCAAATTAAGCGCTAACCCTTGACAAAGGTCTCTCTCGTTGCTAGGTTAGTTTCGTTTTGCCTTTGTTTCTCATCATTTGATTGCTAGTCGGAATTACTTTGGATCCGAAAGCGTGCAATTGTACGCCCGAAAGATGTGTTGATTTGAGATAGCAAGTTAATTGAAGATTCACGGATAGAACGCGCAAGGTAACGCGTGTTTGACTCATGACCGAACGGCTTAATAAACGTAGATGGTCTGTTTTTGATCGAGTCGATAAGCGCGAAATCACATGTATCATGTGATAACGCGTGAAATCCGATTGAAAAATACACGCACACAAGCAAAGTGGGCATATAGACTTTACCCACGAAGTAGGGCCGGGACATAATTGCACAAACACGGGAAAACTAAAGTTGTTTTTGACTATTAATTCAAAGAAGGACGATCTCTTCGTATATTACTGGAGTTTTTCTGGTACTGGTTGTTTTGCCATTTTACAGAATTTTCACCGATGGCATCCATGAGAAGTGACAAAACATGTGCTGTCAAGCCTCACATGTTAGTGTTTTAGCGGTCGGAATCTGTGTCTTTTGATCTCCATATGTACACAATAGCCAACAATGAAGAAAATTGTTCAAAAAGTCTCAAACCTATTGTACTACGGCAAATTCAATCCTAAACCTTTTCAATTGTGCCAACTCAATCTTATACCTATTATACGGCGGCTAATTCAGTCCCAAATCTTTCAATTGTGCTAATTTAGTCCTAAATCTTTTAACGATTTGCCAATTTAGTCCCAGACCTTTTAATGATTTGCTAATGTAGTCCTTCGGCGATTTCCGACCAAAATTACCCGGAAGGACTATATTGACAAATTGTTAAAAGGTTTGGGATTAAATTGGCTAATCATCAAAATGTTTAAGACTAAATTGGCACAATTGAAATGTTTATGACTGAATTTGCTGCCATACAATAAGTTTATGATTGAATCGGCACAATTAAAAGGTTTATGTCTGA